ACCCTCACCCCGCAGTCCTGACACCTGATGTTCTGCTCCTGTGCCAGGTTCTATAGAAACATTTGCTCTTCTCGTTTATTGAAAAGGCGGATAGATGCAGACTGTGCACGGAGTGGATGACCAGGGCTGAGGCGCTTCCTGACCAGGGAGGTGTGACTCGGATGCCGGCCGTGTGGGGATGCGTTTGCACCCCACAGAGGCTGATAAAACTGGTTTTCAAAGGGCCACCCACACTTCACCTGTGTCCTATTCAGTAGAACCAGGAGAAATTGGTTTAGACGTTGGCATCCCCAGGCCCACGAGCAGTGGTTTATAAGTGGCTGCCTCAGGAGTTCTAGATGGAACTTCCGGTATAAATGATGTCTAGTCATCAGTTCCTGGTGAGGAGACGTCTAGAAGCCACTGACCCCACCAGAAATAACGCGCAGTCGGAGGCCAGGGGGCATCTCCACTGAGGCAGGTGGAGCTGGGCGGAGCTGGGCGGAGAAGAGCTCACCAGGCTCTGCCCCCTGAAAGCAGCCATGTAGACGATGCTCCGAGATGCAAAGGAATCCCCTGTGGCTGGTCGTCCCAGGAGACACCCAGGGACTCCACCGGCCACAGACGGGCCACCGTCCCTAACACTGACTTTCATGTAAAAGGAATCATATGACACTTTTGCATTTGGCTACTTTCACAGAATATTACCACGATGGGGAAGGGTTTATTTTATTTGCTTGTTTGTTTTGTTCCTCAGAACAGGGAAAAGAGATTAGTTTTTGGGGGGAATGCTTATTTTTTTTACCTTGATAATTAGAGAAAGGAAGGTTTTAAATACTTTGGAAAGCCTAGAGATAAAAGCCTAGTAGAACTTAAAACAAGGTTTAAGCCTTCTATAAAAGCAAAGCGAAAAGCAGGGCCCTTGACAGTCAAATTCAGGGCGGGGGGAGATGCCACAGGGCACGGGAGTCGTTTTGTACAGCGGACGGTATCCTTTACGTTGATAAAGGCATCGCTTCATTTTTAAATGTTTTAAAATTAACCAACTCGTTCATATATTTCCTTGCTTGAAAAAATGCAAGCAATGCAAATAAATGTGCGCAGGCCTTCTCTTGGCCCCTGGGGCCTAACCCGAGAACAGGCTGGATCTGCCTTGTCTCCTGGTATCGCCATAATGCAGCGTTGGGTTTGGGAGTTTAGAGACTTAGGAAGACTTTTACGTGAAAAATCCTTACAGATCTTTATGATGCTTTCCACTCATTTTATTCATCAGCAGTTTGATTTGGGTTTTGGTTTCTAACAACCTGCCTTTACTTTCAGCTGTTTTTATAAAACAACTCTCTTCGTACCGAAAATTCTTTAGCTTTTATCACTAAAGGACATAGTACATAGCAAGTACCAATGGCTTGAATAAGTTTAAGGACGAACGCAAGGGACTCAGGTGGATGAAGTGTGCAGGGGGCCTGCAGAGTGTCCTGCTGCCCCAGCGCTCAGCTCTGTCCCTGTGTGGCTTTGCAGGGAAGGAGTGCAGTTGAACTTGGCACGTTGGCCGTGGAGCTTGCTTAGCAGAGCATCTGTGTGCGGGCACGTTTGTGCTCCTGCGGGACCATTGCTGTAGGACAGAGGCCTAGGAGTGGAATTGCTGGTCAGAGGTGAAGTGCATTTTAAGTGGTGGTTGAGCCGTTCAAAAAGGCAGTACACGCCTCCCATGATCTCGGCACTGTGAGAGCCCATTTTTACACGCCATCCCAGCCCTGTCGGCAAACATCTAATCTGTTGGTTGAAAAAATCATACCTTGTCGTGACCTGCCTGTCCTGATGACGTGGAAGTTGAGCATCTTTCCACATGCGTGCTGGCTGTTTCTGTTTCTTTGTCTGTGAATTGCCTGTTCTGTCCTTTGCTGTTTTTTCTATTGAGCTGTTTATATCTTTGTCTTCTTGATTGATAGCAGCTTTTTACACATTCCGAATGTTAAATTTTTAATATGTTTCAAATGTTTTCTTTCCCAACACAGTATAGGGGAGGTGATGTAGCACAGGGGTTACACACACAGGCACGAGACCTCAGCTGCCTGGGTTTGAATCCTAGTTCTGCTACTTCTTAGCTGTGTGACCCTGGGCAGGTTACCTAACCTCTCTGTGCCTCCATATCCTTACCCATGAAATGGGGATGGTCAGAGAACCCGTATCACTGAGTTGGGAGTTCACACACGTGACAAGCTGGTAACAGGCTGATTGGGCATTTAATTTGCCTTCTCACTTTGTGTTCACGGTGTCCTTTGTCACGTAAAACTCTTTTTCTATTATAGAAAATCTGCCAGTCTTTTTATTTATTTAAACCTATTCTTCTGGATGTTGTGTCTGGATTAGGAAGGCCGTTCCCAAGAGGTCCACTTTACAATGAAAAGATAACTGTTTTAAACTATTATGATGCGGTAGCCACCAGACAGAGCGGAGTCTGTCAGGAACGTGGGCAGAAATTACCATACGCACTCTGCGATTTCCCTGGGCATGGAACATGACAGGGATATAAGAGATCTGAAAAAAATAATGAATTTGATTTAAAATATTTTTACTGAACTTTTTCCTCCCTAAATCTGTACTGCCCCACTGGCCACATGTGGCTACTAAACGCTTAAGTGCAGGCAAGACATGGCGGGGCCTAGAGTCATCAGTTTCTTATAAAGTGAAACAGACACCCCACGGCCCAGCAGTCCAGTCCTTGGTATTTACCTGAAGCAGCATCTCAACAGCAGCACTCTTGAATGCGGGCTGGGCCATTGTTGTGGGCTTTGTCCCTTGCACTGCAAGAGGCTTCGCAGCACCCCTGGCCTCGCTCACTAGGTGCTAGTGGTACCCCTACCCCAAGCTGTAACAACCACGAACGTCTCTAGACCTAGCTGGGTGTCCTCTGGGGAGCAAAAATAGTTCCTGGGTGAGAACTCCTGCCCTGGAGAAATAAAAAGTTATGATCGCACAGAAACCTGTACGTGAACATTTATAGTCATTCTGTTCATCATTGCCCCAAACCGGAAACAACCCGGTTTGGGTTGGGTGGATAGGTAGGGTCTGGGACACCCACACATGGCTCACTGTTCAGTACTCAAAAGTTGATACGCACAACTTAGGTGACTCTCAAAGGCATCTTGCTAAGTAAGAGAAATTAGAAAGGTTACATACTACGCGATGCCATTTATGTGACAATTCGAACCAGACAAACCTATAGTGACAGAGAGCAAGCAGATCAGTAGTTGCCAGGGTGAGGGGTGGGGAAGAGTGTGACTCGAACAGGCTGGCACAGGGAGTTTTTGGAGTGATGGCTCTGTTGTGTGTCCTGGTTGTAGTGTTGGAAGATTCTACACACATGTTAAAATTCAGAGAACGGTACACCCCAAAGAAGTCAATTTTACTGTCTGTTAATTTAAAAACTAACACATTGTAAAAAAAAGTGTTGAATGTCTTCATTTTGTTTAACCCAACAAAATAAATACTCTCTTCCCCCACCAAAAAATAAAACACAGATCTGTCTCACTGTGAATTAAGACAAAAAAACTTACATAAAACATAAGAAAATCAAATCCAGAGATACAGTAAGAGAATAGCATACACTGAACAAGTGTAAATTAATGCAAAGATCGTGAAATGTTTGGGACCAAAATTTATCCTATCAATAGGCAAGAGGAGAAAAATACTCTGATCTTCCAAGAGGTTAAAAGGGCTGTAGTATTTGTTCATAAGGAAGTTTATAAGGAATATTTCTGAAGTTTATAAGGAATATTTCAGGAATATTCATAAGGAATATCTCAATTTATAAGGAGTATAGTTTACAGGAAGGTCTATATTCGAAACCATACTTAATGAAGAATTATTGGTGGCAATAAAGGCAAGACAGTAATGCTTGTGGACACTGATGTCGCTGTGGAAGCTCTAGTCAGCACAGAAGACAAAGAAAGGAATAAGACGAAGCCATGAAGAAGGGAAGCCCAAACTACCCTTACCTGCCAGTGACGCTTGCCTGCTTAAACATCCTGACGGAGTCAGAAATACAGGGCCCAATAAGGCAGTTCAGGGAGGTGTCCAATTATAAGATAAACATGCAAAAATTAGTTGGTTTTGTCTATAGCAGCAAAATCCAGGTTTCGATCCATTAGAAAGCTCCGTCAATAAGAAAACTATGAGCACCAAAAGGAAAATCAGCAAAACATTTCTCTGCAAATGGCCAGTTATTAAATGAGGGAAGGGGAAAAAAAT